TCCACACTGCTCCTCAATGTTCCTCACTGTTCCTCACCATCGCTCACTGCTCCACACTGCTCCACACTGCTCCTCACCTCACTTCACTGTTCTTCACCTTGCTGCACCTCCGGCTGCTTGTCAGGCTCGGGGCTGCCCTCTGCTTGGTATCAGAGCCACACCAACACTAGAAGCAAAGGAGAAGAGATTTCTCGACGGTGGCTTTGAGGTAAGGCCTTTCGGTTTCATGGTCTCAGTCTTGTGTTCCATGGTCGAAGCGCTGTGCTTCAGGGATGTAGTGGTACCAGCTTCATGATTTGAAGGTACTGTTGTTTGTTTGTTTTTTTTTTATCTTGTTTGGTTCATATATGTGGTTGTGCAGAGAAGCAAGGCAGTGGACATGGACGTGATATACTCACACCACATCGATACTTGAGGCACTTGCACTGCTTTATCCGTTTGGCATTAAATGAGAGACTGTTTTTTCTTCGTCTGGTGCGGTGACTTTGCAGAGAAGCAATGCAGTGGATATGGACATGATATACTCACACCACATCGATCCACAGCTCGTCAGAAAGTGAGTATCGCACTGCACTTCATGGCACGCAGTGCACTACACAGCACTTTACTACACCGCACCGCACTGCACCGCGCCGCATGGCAACACACTGCACTGCACGTGCCATTCCATTCCATGGTTATTTCTAACGAGTTTTGTTTCGCTCTTAATTGGACCATGTAAACCCCATTCGCTTGTACCTCTGTACCAAAATTTCCTACAGAGAACCCATGTTGTTGCCACTTTCCATCATTGACATCTTCTCTCCTACTCTCCCATCCTGGTTCCGTTTACATGTTTTGACTCCCTCGTCTCGGTCTCCCTTGTCTCAACTCCCTGGTCTCAGTCTCAACTCCCTCGTCCCAACTCTTGCTTCACATCTCGTTTCACATTGCGTTGCAGATTGCGTTTCACATCGCGTTTCACATTGCGATTCATGTCTGGTTTCACATCTCGTTCATGTTCCCTTGTTCTTGTCGTTCCAGAATCGAACCACTGGAGATATTCGATGAGTTTGAGGAGTGGCATCTCATGCAGGTAGGCTTCATCGCTGCTTACTTTTGCCATTTCATGTTACAACTCATAAGCCGTTGGTCTCCTAGGCGTATACTTCTGAGGCAAATTCCACCTTCATTTCGGTTCTACCGTACTAGCACTGATTCAATCCCAAGGATCAACCCCTTTTATGTACGCACAGGAACACTACTGTATCGCTTATGGAATAAAGGATGCCCTGGTATGTTTTTCTCACTGACCACCCTTTTGCACCACATGGTGCAGCTGATTTCCGTTGTTTTCTTGCTAACAGCTTATCATTTTCTTCAATAGCTAGAGTCCTCTGTTTGAGCGATGCAGCATGAGACATTAATTGTGTTTGTGTTTTGTATTTCAGGGTGTTTTACATAACTTTGGATTTCGTAGTTTCTCTCAGGACACAACATAACCTGCACAGGTGCAATTTGTGATGGGATTGCTGTGAACAAATTTGGACCACCCTCTGATTAGAAGTAGTTTTTATCCTGTGTTGCAACAGATTTCATTATCAATTCCCGCAGAATTCACTTTGTACAGAGCCGGAATTATCAAAACTATGAGTATCGCTGGAATCCCAGATGATTCCGCGACCTGCAGTTGCTGATCTCTGCCACCACCTATCCCGCAACATACCTATCTGCTTCTCAAATCTCGATCTAGGAGGCGGCTACAGTTCCACCTAAACACAGGTCCCATTCTCAAGCTCTCACAATAACTTGTGGAGCTTTATTGCCAGCTAAAGCCTCCGTATTCTGATCAACCCCTAGGCTTGGAACCGAACGCATAAGTTGCCGGCATTCACGGGTGCAGCACGCTGCTGGTTCCATGCGCAGCCACGCAACTACCGCGAAACAGGTCCTTATTTACGATCTCCGTTCGTGACTTCCCCCCCAGCACGCCTAGCACCAGTCGCGGGCCCTTGATCAGCGGGTTGTAAACCACGACTTTCTTTTTCGGATCCGCCGTTGGTAACCCTTTACCCTTGGGTTGCGCTTTCAAAGTAACGTAGTCATAATTGTCGAAGAGCACATTAACCATTGCGATATCCTGAACCTTTTTCGTCTTCCAAATTAGTTGCATTAGAATCGCGGGGTTGATGCTCGCGTTGACAAGCGCGCGATTGGTTGGAACGAGAATGGTTACCGCGGGAGGCAACTTGCTAGGAGCGTCCTTTTCTGTTTGGGAAAAGGCAAGGGGGAAGCGCAGGAAGAGAGGGGGGAATGGGGGTTGAGGGGGAGGCGGGGTTGTGGGAGGGAGGATGGGGGAGGGGGAGCAGGGTGTGTGGGCAAGGGGGAAGGGAGAAGGGGAAGGGAGAAGGGGGAAGGGAGAAGGGGGTGAGACGATACCAGAAGTCCATCTTTCTCGAATGTCACTTGTCTCAAAAAGTAAAAAATATACTGCATGAGGGAGCTTGAGTCGACTCAGAACCCAGCTCAACCCCCCTGCCTCCTTGTACTACTAACATTATCTGTTCAAAAGACTGAATGAAAGCGCAACCTTCGTTTTAGGGTCGACTCAGAAATCGCCACTGCCTCCTGTACTACTATCCGTTGTCCAGTTTGCATGAACGAGCACCACTGACCCTTGTATTCTAGCCCTTTCTTCAACCGCACTCAAGTGGCATGGAGCCGTACAGGAGGCTCTTGTATTCCATCCTTTGTCCAGACTGCATGAACGAGCACTGACCCTTGTATTCAAGCCCTTTGCTCATCGCAATAGCCATGCCGTCGTAACGCGTTGGTCGTTTCGCCAAAGTTCGTTGAAGCTTCTTCAGGTCGCCGACGAACTGTCGCCACGTGCATCCGACGTCGGGGAACGGGAAGCCTGGACTTACGACGGCTGCGGCAACGGTCTGCCCGATGAGAAAAACTGCGAGCGCTGCGAAAATACGAACGCGATTCGAAATCATGATCGAAAACTCGAGGCTGCTGACGACGAATCTGACAGATGGGTTTGGTTGGTCCGTCGAAGGTAGTAGAAGATGGAACGCGGGAAAGTGAAGTGACGCATCATGGGCTTTCACCTATTTATATATACCACCCTGCGACTGTTAGAGGCCTTACGAGCTTACAACAGATCCGCGTTGACTTTCTTTCTTTTACGAAAACACCAACGCGTCAGGAGTAGCTCAGGACTCAGGAGCAAGGAGTGAGTGCCGTAAGGAGTCGGGCACTCTTGAGCTGAGTTTGATAAATAGTAGATTAGGGCAGGGGCAGAATGCACTATGTACCCAATAGAAAACGGAGGCGATTCGGATTAGAGTTGACTATGCGGGTTCTAGTTTTCCTGCCGGTTGCCCTAGTTGACTGTTCATACACGGCGGGCTACACTGTAGGGCGTATTCCTAGATTCGTTTCCTTCCGTATTTGTGTCATCCGAAATTGTGGGAGCCAATCGAAAAACCCGTGTTTCGAGCTTTGTCTTTTTCGATTAAATATCACAATTTCGGATGACACGAGGCCTGTATGACACGGAGGTAAGAACACGCCCTAACATGTGCCATTTTCTACTCCCCCAATTTGACTCTGTAGTTCGTGGCTGGGTGGCTGGGTGCGGAGTGCCAGCTGGTGTTTCTTCCAAAAATTCTCCCTATAGGCGGGGACTGTCAGCGCATTACAAGAGTAGACCTATATATACAGATTATGGAAGAACGGTTTTTACATTTCTTAAAATTCACGGAATATATGTTACATTTCGGGGAAACACGGAATATATGTTTCTTGCGCATCTCTGTATCCCCAGTCGGTTCACAGCAGCCGTTGATCGTTCACAAACAGATCCACAGCAGCTTCATTCTCTCTGTACACCCAGCAAAAGCCTTGGTCCCTCATTATCAAACCTTGAGCTGAGCAGAAAAAATTGGCTGCGTTCATGGCTGGAGCAGTCTGCTGATTCCTTGCGCAACAACGCAATTACCGCTAAACAGGTCCTTATTCATAACCTCCGCTCGTCCCTTCGCCCCGACAACGCCTAGCGTCATTCCCGTGCCTTGCGTCATCGGGCTATCCTGGCCCTTGTATCGCGCGACCTTCTTTTTCGAATCCGCCGTTTGTATTCCTTGCCCCTTGGGTGTAGACTTCAATGTATTGTAGTCGTATTCGCCGACGAGCACGTTCACCTTGGCGATACCCTGTACCTTCTTCTTGTTTTGAATGAGGTCGATCAGGAAAGCGGGGTTCAGGCTCGCGGCGAGAAGAGCGCGATTTGTTGGAACGAGAATGGTGACCGCAGGGAGCAATTCGCTTGGAGCATTCTTTTCTGTTAAGGAAGGGGAATGAAGATAAAGAAGGGGGGGGGGGGGGGGGGGGGGGAGAGGAATGTGGGAGACGGGGAAGAGCAAAGGGTGTGAGTGTAGGAGGAGAAAGGAAAGAGTTAGGGTAATTAAAAAGCTCGCCTGTCAATGAAACACCTATGCTGGGCTTTCATCCCGAACCGGCGTCAACGCGACTCGGACCATCCTTTTGACCAAACTACACGAGCACTCACGCATTTTCTTCAGTCCTTGTTTCAGCGCGATGGCCATGCCACCGTAACGGATAGGATTTTTTGCCAAAGTTCGCTGAAGCTTCTTCATTTCGCCCACGAACTGATCCCATGTGCACACGCCGGTTCCGACGCCGGGGATCGGGATCGGAAAGCCCGGGATCAGCCCGGCTGCGTCCGCGCTCTGCGCGATAAACAGAACGGCGAGCGTTGCTAGAATTTGCCAGCGAATCCACGCCATCGTTGCGAATTCGACTCCACTAACCTCGAGCGAAGGGTGAATTGAGGGAGTTGGACTTGGACGAGAGATTGTTTGACAACAACACCATGGAGGTTTTCAGTCATTCTAGAAAGTATTTCGGCACATATAGCGCCAGGCGCTTGAGTGAGAACCGCTGATTTCAGTCCTCGATTCGACCACGTAAGCACTGTGAGATTCCGTCTCATGGCCCGCGCACTTAACGCTTGGATGATCAGCACAATTGCAGCACCTGAGGAGAAAGCAACAGATCATTTTGCCACCCTCATCCAGCAGCCACAACCTGCACGCTCCAACACCTCTTTACCAGGAGAAAACGTATGTTACCGAATCGAACCGCTGTGATTATTCTGTACTCATGTCGGTGGTCAGGGGTTTGCAGCTGCTGTAGCAGTTCGGCCCGTGGGGATGACCCCGAACCAGGTTCGGCAGCCAAATCAATCGACGGTTCTGGATCTCGCCACGTTCGCTGCGAGCATCTCCTGACATGGCAAGCTGTTTCCTGCCTATCACCACTTTCCGTGCATGATCGCAGCCGTCCAAATTTCTGATGTGCATGCATGCCGAAACATATGGGCGTTGTTCTGCAGGCGTTATGGCGCCGCACCAATTTCACCGCCATGGCCTTCCATGTAATTTCTGGGCGCATTCAGGCGGGTTGCGTTGCACGGAAATTGCTGCCCCGCATAACCTGCGCTGAGGCTGACGCTAGCCCCCGAGGTAGAATCAGCACCGCACAAGTTGTGCGACCATTTGCCCGGCGAAGCAACAACTTCGAGCCTGCAGACGGTTCAATTTGTGCGCCGCATTAGTGGTGTTCTGCAGGCGAGAGCGTTAAATTTGGCGCGAACAGGTTTGGCAGGACCTCTCTTATCACCAAGCCTTGATAGGCAGAATACCATCTATCAACGAAGATTCTGCGGACCCAGTTTCTGGAAATTTAACGCCTACAGAACAGCACCATGCTCTCCCAAGCCAAGGTTTTGGTTCAATTCGCGCACTCGATTCTTGCTTCGCCGAAGCGCTGCTGTCATTCGCTACCCAACCAAACAGCAACCTACGTGAAGCAGCAAATGCCTATTGGTGCGGTTTGTCGGTGTGCGGCCCGGAAAGTGGCTTGCCGCCGATACCCTCGACAAAAACATCCTCGAAACCGGAAGCAAAAATGAGCAGGTGCCCAAGGAAGCTTCAACATTTTCTCTCAGTTAATAAGTAGAACCAGCAATGAATGAGCAATCTGCATCTTAGAAGAGTATATTTACTTCACATGATTTCACAGATTGATTCATGCTGATCCTTTTTTCCAGCTTCCATACCACCCTGAATGCGCCATCAACTCACCTAGCGTTTCCTAATCCTACAGTACGTTTCCTGGGTACCGTACCTTCCAATCTACCTCTTCCATATCCAATCCTCTCTTCCTCCTCCTAACCCACCTCTTACTCCTCTTCCACCCCTTCCTCCTCTTCCTCCCCTTCTTCCTCTCCCTCCTATATCTCCTCTTCCTTGTACCCCACTTCCTCCAATTCCCCTTCCTCCATGCATTGCTTCCCTATCACACACGCTCTCGTCCCTTCCTCTCCCACGCCCCTCCCACGCGTCCAAGGGGCTAATCTCCTGCTTGACATTCTGTCGCCGTGCTCCTCCTTTCTTTCCGTCTGCTTCTGAACCCCACCCTTGCCCTCCTTCTCCTCCCCAACTACCTCTGCCTCCCCCTCCCCCTCTTCCTTCTCCTCCCCCTTCACCTCCCACTTCCCCCAAAGCCCCTGTCCTTAGCCTTCCCCAACCGTCATCACCCCCTTTTCCTCCCCAACCACCTCTGTCCCCACATCCCTCTCCCCTTACTGCTCCTCCCCCTTCCCCCCAACCACCTGTTCCTACTGCTCCCCAACCGCCCCCACCTTCCCCTTCCCCTGCCCAACTACCTCCGCCCCACCCTCCTCCTCCCCCTTCTCCTTCCCCCTGACCACCCCCTTTCCCCCAACCCCCTCCCCAACCACCTCCACTTCCCCCTCCAACTCCCCCTTCTCTCCCCCAACTCCCCCCTGCTCCTCCCCACCCCTCTGAACCGACTTCTCCTGACCCCCATCCATCGTACAAACGCTCCTGCCCCTGTGATTTCCCTTCCGATCGTCCCTCCACTCGCCCTTCTTCTCGCCCTCGCACTTGCTCTTCCGCTAGCCCTTTCCCTACCAAAAGCCCTTCCCCGTGTCCTCCCGCCAGCCCTTTCCCCACTGAATGCCCATGCTTGAACCCAGGTGGTCCCTCCTCTGCACCAGCATCAGCGCTTGGCTGAGCTCTGAAGCTGTAAACCCTTCCTTCCCCTCCCCTTCCCCTCCCCCCCTCCCCCCCCCTCTCCCTCTCCCTCCCCTCCCTCTCACGCCTCTTCCTCTCCCTCCACCTTCCACGCCTTCTCCCCAACTCGGAATCCCTAGCATCTCCGCCCCTTCACCCCTCCACCCCGACCCCCCTCGCTCCAATTCCCTCTCTCTTTCCTCTCTCCGCTCCCACCGTTCCCTCCTCTCCCTGCTCCTACTTCTGCTGCTCCTCTCCTTTCCTCTCCTCCTGTCTCTGCTTCTGCTTCTGCTCATGCTTCTTCCATCTCTGCTCCTACTCCTCGTCCTTTCCCTGTCCCTGCTTCCACTCCTGTGCCTTCCCCTATCCTTGCTTCTGCTTCTCTTTCTACCCCTATCTCTGCTCCTGCTCCTCCTTCCCCTTTCTCTGCTCCTACTCCTGTGCCTACCCTTATCCTTGCTCCTGCTCCTCTCTCTACCCCTGCTTCTTCTGCTGCTGGGACTACTAACTTCATTGCTCCTCCTGCCCTCTTCTCCTCTTGTCCCTTGCTCCTCTCCTCTTGTCCCTTGCTCCTCTCCTCTTGTCCCTTGCACCTCTCCTCCTGTCCCTTGCTCCTTTCTTCCCCTTCCAGTCCCTGCCACTCCAGATCTCCCTTCCAATTCCACTCTCTCTCCCACCCCCTCCATTCCCTTCCCTTGCCCTCTCAACACACTGCAGCTTTCTTCTGTCACTCCCTTACCACCCTCCCCCATTCCCTTACCACCCTCTCCCACTCTCTTACCACTCACTCCCACTTCTCCCCCTCTCCCGTCGCCTCCTCCACCCACTCTGCCGCCAGAGTTTTGTGCCGTCTCAGAACCATTTCCCACTCCTCCTCCTCCTCCCGCTCCCACGCCCCCCACTCCGCCCACTGCCCCTTCAGTCCTCTCCATTCCCCCACCACCTGCCCTTTCCTCTCCATTCCCCTCTCCGTTTCCCCACCCCCCTCCTCCACCCCCTCCCATGGCCCCCATTGCCTGTGCGAGCCTCTCCTCTCTCCTCCTCCGTATCCCCAGCTTCAGTTCCATAGAGTCTAATGAATCCTCCTCACTCTCATCATCACTCTCGCCATAGTCACATTCTTCCACATCCTCATCCTCCTCACTGCAATCCATGTCAACACCATTATAGTCACCACCATCACCATAACCACCATCAGCAGCACCACCACCATCAGCAGCACCACCACCATCAGCAGCACCACCATCGGCAGAACCACCAGCACCACCATCAGCACCACCATCAACAGAACCACCAGCACCACTAGCTGATGGTGCTGCTGGCACATCTTCCATTTCTGTTGCCGTCGTTGTTGCTGCAGTACCAGCAGCACCATTACCATCATCAACATCAGCAGCAGCAGCAGTATCAACACCACCACTTACTGATGTTGCTGCTGGCACATCTTCCATTTCTGTTGCCGTTGCTGCTGCAGTGGCTCCTGCTGCTACTGCTGCTGCTGTTACACCTGTTACACCTGTTGCTCCTGCTGCTGCTGTTACACCTGTTACACCTGTTGCTCCTGCTGCTGCTGTTACACCTGTTACAACTGCTGCTCCTGTTGCTCCGGCTGCTGCTGTTACAGCTGTTGCTCCTGGTGCTACTGCTGCTGCTGGTGCAGTAGGAGTAGCAGCCACCACCCTTTGTTCCTCTCCATGTGCCACGATCTTCAGCCCTATTCGCAAAGCCGGTACCATTTCCGTCGATGTTCGCGTTGCCCTTGTTGCAGTTGCTGCTCCTGCTGCTCCTCCTACCAATGCTCCTGCAGCTGTAGCTTCTCCTGCTGCTCTTCCTACCCCATCTGCCGCAACTACTTCCCCCCCAGGTGTTGCTGTTGGCCTTGCTGCTCTTGTTTCACCTGCTCCTTCTGCCTTTTCTGATTTGGCTTCTGCTGCCAATTGCTGCCCTGCTGCTAATTGCTGCCCTGTTGCTATCTGCTGCCCTGCTGCAAACTGCTGCCCTGCTGCTAACTGCTGCCCTGCTGCCAACTGCTGCCCTGCTGCTATCTGCTGCCCTGCTGCCAATTGCTGCTCTCGTGCCAACTGCTGCTGGTCTGCTGCTAGTTTCACCGGCCTCCACTCATCCAAAAGCGACCCCAACCGATCAGCAATCACAGCACCACCACTAACAGCAGCATCCCTCGCATTCCACACAAGCGTATCCCTGAACCCCGCGTGGCCTTCCCACTGGTACAACTGAGTAAGTGAGTAAGGTCCCTGAATGCGCCCTTTGGGGTCTGTGTAACACCACCATGGTTGGTGTAGCAGTTTGAATGGCACGATAACAGTGGTGACGGTGGCGGGCGCAGCGATTGGGACGGTGGTGGTGGGAGCAGGGGCAGGGGCATGGGCAGGAGCAGGAGCAGGAGCAGGAGCAGGAGCAGGAGCAGGAGCAGGAGCGACAGCAGAAACTGTTGGGGCAGCAAGAGGAGTAGGGACAGCAGAAGCGACAGTGGCAGAGGAAGAGGCACGAGTAGCCTCGGAAGCAGTTGCAGCAGGAGCAAGAGCAGTGAAAGCCGCAGCACCTGCAGATGCAGCAAGCGTAGCAGGGGAAGCAGCAGCAATGGTAGTAGGGGCAGCAGAAGCAGTAGGGGCAGGCGAAACACCATGTAGAGCAGGAGCAGTTGGAGCAGGAGCAATAGCAGCCACAGCAGAAGCAGCCACAGCAGCAGCAGGCACGACTGGAGTGGGAGTGATACTGCCAGCAATAGCTTCCCTCCTATCGCTGCTCCCACCTTCCATCCTCTCCCCCCTCTCACTGCTCCCACCATCCCCCCATTCCCTCCTTTCCTTGCTCGCTTCTCGATGCCTCTCTCTTCCCCTCTCCCTGCTTCGCTCACCTCCCCCTTCCACCTCCCTTCGTCCATTTTCCCTCTCCCAGCTACCTCTCACTCTATCCCTCTCCCTGCCCCTCAATCCTTCACTGTCCCTATTCCTCTCCTTTAAACCCTCTCGACCCCTATCCCTCTCTCCTGACCTCTCTCGACCCCTCTCCCTCTCCCTTGATCTTTCTCGACCCCTCTCCCTCTCCCTCGATCTCTCTCTACCACTCTCCCTCTCCCTCGATCTCTCTATACCCCTCTCCCGCTCCCTCGATCTCTCTCTACCCCTATCCCTGTCCCCTGATCTCTCTCGACCTGTCCCTTTCTCCCAAATCCTCTCCCAACTCCTCTCCCTCCTACTCTCTCTCACCCTCGTCTCATCCCTTCCCCGGACCCTATCGCTCCCCCTGTCCCTTTCCCTTTCTCGCCCTCTCTCCTCATGCCTCCCTCTCTCATCCTTCCCTAAACTCTCACCTCCTCTCCGTCGCTTTCCTTCCCTCTCACTCTCTCCGTCATCCCTCTCCGCCCCTACCCTGCCTCTTTTCCTATCGTGAGTGCTTCCTCTATCCGAGGTCTCTCCATACCCTGACTGCTGCTGCTGCTGCTGCTGCTGCTGCTGTTGTTGCTGCTGCGGCTGCTGCTCCTGTTGTCCTTGGCTAATACTTCTATTCAAACCACCATCAGGGCCAGCAGCAGCAGCAGCAGCAGCAGCAGCAGCACCACCACCACCACCCGAAAGTGCAACAGTAGCACTTGCACCAGCACCAACAACAGGAGAAGCAGCACCATCAGCAGCAGCAGCAACAGGAGCAACAAGGGCAGTGGCAGAAGCAACACCAGCAGCAGCAGCAGGCACGACCACAGGGGCAGCAGGAGCAACATCAGCAGTGGCAGCAGCAGGAGCAGCAGGAGCAGCAGCAGCAGCAGCAGCAGCAGCAGCAACAGCAGCAGCAGCAGCAGAAGAAGCAGGAGCGGCAGAAGCAGGTGCGATGCCGCTTGCTGTACCAGGCGTATCCACCAGCAGAGGAAGAGAATGAGGGGACGCTGAAGCTGCAGGGGAAGGTTTCCCCCCTGTGGGGAAAAGTGCGCCCTCTGGCGGGAGGGGTTTTCCCCCTATGGGCGCTGTGGGGGAAAGTGCGCCGTCTGGGGGGAGCGGTTTTCTCCCTGTGGGGGGAAATGCGCCCTCTGGGGGAGGTGGAAGAGAGTGATTCGCCCCTGAGGTGCAAGGTTTTCCCCATGCTTGGGGGGGAACCCCCCCTGGGGGCGAAGGTGCCACCCCTGGGGTAGAAGCTGCTCCCTCTGGGGGCGAAGGTGCACCCTCTGGGAGCGGAGGTGCTCCCCTAGTGGGCGCGGGCGGAGCTGTTCCCCCTGCGGGCGGAGCTGTTCCCCCTGCGGGCGGAGGTGTTATTTTTGGGGGCGGAGCTGCTCCCCCTGGGGGCGGAAAATCCACCCCAGGGGGGAAAACGGCTGGGGGAAGAGGGGAATACGTGTGAGGGGAGGGAACTACCGAGGGAGCGACGCCTGGAGGAAGGGGTTGGTTTTCCGGTGACTCGCAGGTGGAGAGAGGTATGGAGTCGGGAGGAGCGACCACTGTTTTAGATTCCTCGAAAGTATTTTGAGACGTCTCAAAAGGTGAGTGGCAGCTAGAGAGAGGTATGAAGTTGGGAGCGGTCAGGGCACTATGCGCGTTCGGAGGGAAAGGGGATGGATGGGCGGAGGTGGGGGACGGATGGGCGGAGGAGGGGTGAGGATGGGCGGAGGATGGGGAAGGATGGGCGGGGTAGGAAGAGGGATGGGTGGAGGATGGGGAGGGATGGGAGGGGTAGGGAGAGGGATGGGTGGAGGATGGGGAGGGATGGGAGGGGTAGGGAGAGGGATGGGTGGAGGATGGGGAGGGATGGGAGGGGTAGGGAGAGGGATGGGTGGTGGGGTGGAGTTTGGGAGGGAGTGGGTTGAGAGGAGGGCATGGGTGGGGAGGGCGTATGTGGGGTGGGGGCATTTGCGGAGGAGGCATTTGGGGAGGGGGGATGTGGGGAGGAGAGATATTTGGGTGAAGACTTGCAGGCGGGATGTAGGAAGGGGGATGGGCGGAGGGGGGTTGGGAGGAAGGGGGTTGTGAATAGGGGGGTTGGGAGGAGGGGGCATGGGCGGAAGAAGGAGGAAGTTGGGTGTGAGGCGGTTGGGTGGGAGGAGGTTGTGAGTGAGGCGGCTGGGTGTGAGGCGGTTGGGTGGGAGGCGGCTGGGTGTGAGGACGTTGGGTGTGAGGCAGTTGGGTGGGAAGCGGTTGGGTGGGAGGTGGATGGGTGGTAGGGGTAAGAGAGGGGTGCGAGGGCGGGTGTCTAGGGGCAGAGGAGCCGTCAGCATCAGCATCAAGGAGTACAGGGCGGTTGAGAAAGGTGAGGCGGTATTCTGGGCTCCGAATGTCCATGAGGAGTCGATGGGACTCCACGAATGTGGTGGGTGGAAGATAGAAAAGAATAGCGAAGGGAGAAGTGAGAAAAGAATAGGGAAGGGGGAAGAGAGAAAAGAAGAGAAGGGGGAAGATAGAAAAGAATAGGGAAGGTGGAAGATAGAAAAGAATAGGGAAGGGGGAAGATAGAAAAGAATAGGGAAGGGGGAAGATAGAAAAGAATAGGGAAGCGGGAAGATAGAAAAGAATAGGGAAGGGGGAAGATAGAAAAGAATAGGGAAGGGGGAAGATAGAAAAGAATAGGGAACGGGGAAGATAGAAAAGAATAGGGAAGGGGGAAGATAGAAAAGAATAAGGAAGGGGGAAGATAGAAAAGAATAGGGAAGGGGGAAGATAGAAAAGAATAGGGAAGGGGGAAGATAGAAAAGAATAGGGAAGGGGGAAGATAGAAACGAATAAGGAAGGGGGAAGATAGAAAAGAATAGGGAAGCGGGAAGATAGAAAAGAATAGGGAAGGGGGAAGATAGAAAAGAATAGGGAAGGGGGAAGAGAGAAAAGAAGAGAAGAAGGCAGAGAGAAAAGAAGAGAAAGGGGAAGAGATAAAAGAAGAGAGAAAGGAGAAGGAAAGAAAACAGAGAAGAAACGGGAGAATCGAGAGAACGGAAAGAGAGAACATAGATGCGTAGAGGGGGTAGGGTGGGTGCAGAGAGATGGTCAAGGAGAACTGACTTTTGAGTCGACCCAAGAGAAGAGGGTCACAAGAAGCAGAGCGGCATAGCAATGGAAGACAGGAAATGGGAGGGTGCGGTGATACGAAGGGAAGAAGGACGAGAAGGCTGGCAGAGGATTGAGAAAAAAAAAAAAAAAAAAACGAGAGAAAAAACTCGGTGAATAAACGAAGGGAAGAAGTACGAGACGAGACGGCACCCAAAAGGGTTGCTTGGGTTCATGAGTATTTGAGGAGTGGAGAGGGAGAGCTAAGAGGATGCGAGAAATGCAAGAGAGAAGAGAACAAATAGTGAATGGGAGAGAAATGAGTGCAGGGAGGAGGGTGCAGATAAGGCGAAGGCAAGAGCAAGTGAAGTAGTGGTGAACAGCAAGAGCAAATGGATAAGCGAGAGATGAGGGCAGAGAGGGCAGAGAGCGCAGAAAGCGCAGAGCGAGGGCAGGGAGGGCACAGAGTGTGAAGCGCAGTAGGGGGTTGAGGTTGAGGGATGTGAGTGTAGTGAAGTGAAGGGAATGAGGAGATATTTTTTGGCCTTCTTGAGCTGCTGCACTCGCTCCAGACTTTGATGGTACTCCTGCAACATGCATGGGCACAGAGAAGACAAGGGAAACAAGCAAGGTTTAGAAGAAAAATATGCACTCAAGGATAAAAGTGCACTTGAAAATGAATTTCAGAAGTGCATGTAAGACAGTAGTGCATGTTGATTCAAGTACATGCACATCTTAAGTGCATTTCGACTCAAAGCACATAGTACACTCACTCACCGTTGTCGAGTTGTCTCAAATCAAAACTCCATACAGAGACTATGTTATACAAATATGTTGTGTACATATATGAGGTATGTGTGTTATATAGCTATGTTGTATATACGTTAGTACACTCACCGTTTCAAAGAAAATATGCCTTATCTGGCGCACCTGCTCCTCCAACTTGTCCTGAGACAATCCGGGGGGGGGGGGAGGGCGGGAAGGTGGATGGGGAGAAATGGGGAGCCATGGCTTAGAGTTCATGGTGAGGGGATGGAAGAAGGGTTCATGCCTCAGCTGCCGTACCTGCCCCTCCAACTTATCCTAAGATGATTGGGAAAGAAGGGATGAGAGGGGGGAACAGATGAAAGGGAGTGTTGGTTTACAAGGGATGCGAATGGTAGGGTTTACTCTCTGCGACATCCCACGCCTCCCCTACTGACGTCCCTGTTGCGTTGGTGCAACGTAGTTGACTTGAGGGAGGAGCTGCTCCTTACGCCGCCCAGACTTGCGAGTTTACAAGAGTTGCGAATGGTTTAAAGGTTTACTCATTGCGACGTCCCACACCTCCCCTACTGACGTCCCTGCTGCGTCGGTGCGACGAAGTTGACTTGAGAAAGGAGCTTCTCTTTACGCCACTCGTACTCGAGCGTAAACTCCTCTTCAATGATGTATTTCGACAGCGTGTCCTCATCAAGACCTCGCACACACTTGGTAGCTTCACCATTTGCTTTTGAGTCGACTCAAAAGCAGACTCGTTACGGCACTCGTACTCGAGTGTAAACTCCTCTTCAATGATGTATTTCGACAGCGTGTCCTCGCCGCGGTCCTCGCGAACACCCGATAGCTGCACCATCTAGAGCAGCAGATTGTAGCGCTTGCGGAGTCCCTCGAAGGACACGGGCAATGTACGATGACGTCGAGTAGTCGACTTCAGCAAGCAAGTCGGCTATAATGCTCTGCGCACGGCTGCATTACGGCATCACAGTATCGTGCTTGCACATGTCGACGTTGCTTAGCCGCTGCTCAAGTTGGTTGATGTACAGGTCGTCGGTTGCTTTGTACGTCATCATGATGAATTGTCGCGCCTGAAACCGACGTCTTCACGTAGGCGACAAGGCTTCAATGTCACTTGTACGACTGACAAGCAGCACCTCGAGATGACCATGAATGTCAACAGCTGCATGGAGTGAAACTGTGAACGACACGCACCGGCGTTGTCCGACGGCATGGTAACCGTCATGTTCAGCTGACATGTCCAATTTCGGCTCAATTGACTCCACCCCACGTTGTCAGACCTTGGTGGCCTCCAAGCGGCTTCGAAATGACAAACTTGCCCAGTGAGAACTTGGAATAGTCATACATAGGGGGTTTAGGGTTTTATACAACGAGCAATCAACAATGCAAGCATCGTGTCCTGATATCGACTCACCATGAAGAAGGGAGGCAGTGACCCTCTTCGCACCAGCTCTTTGACCTCCGCCACCTCAGGAGCGCAAAACGCCCCGTCTGAAAACTCGGTCACGGGGCACCTATCCAGACGGTTCTTTCGGCCATCCAATACCGTCACCATCATCACGTGTTGTCGCTGGTTCTGCTGAAGCTGGTGTTGCTGATGCATGCTGAATCCCGGTGGGCCAAAGGCTGCTGATGTGAAATACTCAACATCTGGGCAAAGGGCAAGGAAAAGCCCAGGGTTGGACAAGTGCAGAGCATGGATAAGTGAAGAGCATTGCGCATTCAGCCATAGTTGAAAGAGGGCTTGGAGAGGCACAGTTGGAAATTAATTGTTATGAGGGAACTTATGGCTGTAACGAGGACAACCACAGTTAAAACGAAGACAAAAAAGTTGAGACGAGGACAATCACAACAATGACGAAGACCATCATAGTTGTAAAAAGGACGGGCTTACCTGAAACAAGCACAAACTTACTTGTAACGAGGACAAGCTTGTACCCCGACGCGTTCACCATTTCAAACACATCCGAACACCGCAACCGAGCCAGTCCGCCCACCAGCATCCCTCTCAACGCCTCTGCACTCCTCTCCAAGCTGCCTCCCAGCTCAGAAGCCTTTTCTAACCCGAGCCTCTCAGCAACCTCCATGTGCCTGCGCCTAAGGAAAATCTGGGTCAGATTGCGATCGTTGATGGCTGCGTATGGTGCTCCTTCCACTGCTGCCCCGTCATCCCCACCATCATTATCATCGTGGGTATGTGCATGCGCATGTGCATGTGCATCACCATGCCCATGCCGGTGCCCGTGCCCATGCCCATGCGTGTGCCCATGCCCATGCTCGTGCCTGTGCCCATGCCCATGCCCATGCCCATGCCCATGCCCATGCCCATGACCATGACCATGCCCGAGCCTGTTCCCAAGCCTATGCAAAAGCCTTTGGCTGAGCCCTTGTCCCCGCACATGCCCATGCCCGTGTGCATGCCCGTGAGTATCATTAACATCATGGTCCACAGAACCGGCACTCCTGTGTCGTCTAAACCCATGCTCTTCCTCCTCCTCCACCCCCTCCTCCTCTTCTTCCTCCTCCTCTTCCTCCTCTTCCTCTTCCTCCTCACAAAAGTCATCCTCCTCCTCTTCCTCCTCTCTATCACCCCACCCACGACCACCACCACCTCCTCCTCTTCCTCCTCCCCTCCCTCCTCTCCTGCCCCCACTCCCTCTGCCCCCTTCCCCTCCTCCTCTTCCCCCTCCAAACCCCCCTCTGCTCCCCCTTCCCCTCCCCCTTCCTCTCCCTGCCCCTCTCCCTCTTCCTCCCCACTCTCCTCTTCCCACGCCTCTCCCCCACCCTCTCCCTCTGCTCACCCCTCTCCCCCTCATACTTCCCTTCTCCCTCCCAATAGAAGCACAAGGAACAAAGTCAGGATCACTAATATCATCCCTGCCAACCCCTCCCCACCCTCCTCCACCCCTGCCATTACCTCGTTCCGCTCCTCCTCCCACTCCTCCTCCTCTCCCTGAGCCTCTTCCCAAGCCTCTCCCCAAGCCTCTTCCCAAGGCTCTCACCAAGCCTCTCCCCAACCCTCTCCCCAAGCCTCTCGTCAACCCTCTCCCAGCACCTCGCCTCCCGCCTCCCCTACTTTTCTTCTCCAGACTCCCTCCTTCCCCATCACACCCCAACGAACTCACAAGCCTCCCCTTCGCTCCACGCGGCAGCAACGTCTTCACACTCCCACCCTGCCTCAGCCTGCTGCTTCTATACCTAACCGCAGCCGCCCGTCCTTGCTGCAATTTGATATTGAATCTTCTGGATAGAGGCACATCCTCTCCCTCATCCCCACTGTCACTCAGAGCGAAGTAGTTACCCTTTGCCCATCCCTCTCCATCTTTTCCCTCCTCCTGTGCTGCCGCTGCTGCTGTGGCTGCTCTATGCTTGCTCCTAGGTAAGGAATCAACTCCCAGTGTCGCATTTTCATCTCCACCTCCACTCTCACTGTCGCTCAACTTCCAGTATTCAACTGTCCTCCTCCCTTGGCCCTCGCCCTCCTCTTCTCTTCTTCCTCCTTCTCCTCTTCGTTCTCCCCCTCCTTCCTCATATTCCTCCTCTGCTACCTCCTCACTCCCTTCCTCCTCCTCCTCGTCTCCCTCTTCTTCCTCCTCCTCTGCTTCTGCTCCTTCTCCCATCATTCCCTCTCCCTCTCCCTCCCCATCCCCATCCCCATCCCCCTCCCCCTCCCCCTTCCCCTCCCCCTCCCCCTCCACCTCCTCCTCCTCATCTCCCAACATACCCAGCTCTATCCCACACAGCCATCTCTCTCTGAGAGAGCCCCAGTCATCAGGAGCCTTCCCCACGTCGATCATCAACCGCTCCCAATCGCGCATCACCGAGTGATAGTCTTTGAAATACCACGCAGGGGAATAGGTGTTGTCCATGTCTAGGACACGCTGCAAGAGGCACAGGCGCACACAGACACAGAAGGAGGAAAAGTGGCATAGTTTTGAGCCGTGCTGAGTCATCACCACCACCTTCACATAGCATGCGACACCTTCCGGTGGGATAGGAGCGGAGCGCTTGACACCTCGCCTCAGCATCAAAGCATCTCAAAACAGCATTCAAGAAAGAAAGAGTACTCACGCCAGTCGGGGTCCTCTTGATGCCGTGCTGAATCATCGCCACCTTCACATAGCATGTGCCGCACAGCTCACCTCACCTGGGTAGGATAGGAACTGACACAGGGTGGGGTTGACAAGACAGCACTACTCACGCCAGTGGGAGTCCTCTCGATGCCGTGCTGAATCATCGCCACCTTCACATAGCATGCGCCGCACAGCCCCAGAACCTTCCGGCCTCCTTCCTCCAGCTGTTCCAGCCTCCACCCCACACTCCCTTCCCTCCTCTCCTCGCCTTCCCTGCCCCACCAGATACTCCCCCCCTCTGACAACCCCTTCTCATCCGCATTCCTCCCCACATTCTCCTCGTCGGCATCCTCACCTCCCCTCTCCTTTGCACTATCTTGCCCCCTTTCCCCCTCTGGTTCCTCCTCCACACCTTCCTCTTCTGTTCCATTCTCCTCTTCTGTTCCACTCTCTCTCCCCCGCTTACGCCCCCTCTCCCTTCCACTTTCCCCATCCTCCCTCGCTCCTTCCCTCCCTTTACCATCCCCACTCTCCCCCCCCATCCCCTTTTCCCTCGCTTCCTCATCATTCCCATCCTGCATTTGTTTAGGCACCTCTACAATCAATCCAACCCCACTCCCACCCTCCACCTCGTTCCCCCTCGCCTCCTCCTTCCCATCATGCCTCTCCGCACCAGCAATCCCACTCCCCTCCCAGCTTCTTCTCCTGCCCTTCCCTCCCTCCGCGCCCGAAACCCTGCCCCAGGCGAGTCGGGCAGCGAATTGAGCTGCCCGGGAAAGTTTCAAGGTCCAGATACTTTTCACTCGGGCAGAAGAAGCAGGGTCCATCCAGACATGGCGGTGCAGGAAGCGGAGGCAACGCCAGCAGAGGGAGGTGGGGCAGAGGAGGCAGAGGAAGAGGGAGGAGCGACGACAGGCACGGGAGCAGGAGTGCCACACTGTGTGCGGGGAGACAGGGTGGGAAGGGTAAAGTGGGAAGGGAGCGCACAGTGAGTGAAAGAAAGACAAAAGGTGAGCAAAATATACCAAGGAAGAGGGAGGAGTGACGGCAGGCACGGGAGGAGGTGTGGCACACTGACTGACACAAATACTGACTGAGGGTAAGTGGTACATTGATTGAAGGTATGTGTCTATATTGGTATGACTTTTGAGAATTCTCTTTTGAGATTTTTGAGAATTCTCAAAAGTCATACCAATAATACTGACACAAATACTGACTGAGGGTAAGTGGTACATTGATTGAAGGTATGTGTCTATGTTGGTATTGTTTACAGCTATAACGTTATGCGGAAGCGATTGGAGCTTGAACTACAAACTTTGCTTGGCAACACTTGGCAACACTTAACATCACTTGCAGCCCTTCGAGTGTGACAGCTTGTCACCTCCTAGCCAAGGGCGTAGAAAATAGCAAGTGAGTAGTTATGCCTTGCTCAGCTTGTAGGACGAGCAAACTGGTCGAGAAGAATTTCGGCAGCACCAAGGTAATATTTCTACTCTCGTCAATACGAAGTAGTAGAATGCGATCTTGAAAAACGTGAATGCATTGGATTGATTTCGACAGGTACAAGCACACATCTATATGGATTCTACGCACAGGCAGGAGCAACTAGAAAACAGTTGTTTAACTGGCTCGCAGGATTTCGCCACGCTGTATCTTGAAAACAGTTGCACAACTCCTTGAACATTTGGCTATATCCTCCTGTTGTTAAAAACTGTCTTCAAATTGCACCTGTAACAATCGCCCCTGCTGACTCAAATGTGTACACTCATGAGACTCGCATGTTGCTCCAATGTAGCTCAAATGTCTTCATGCGAGCTCACAGTTGTATAACGGTTTTTACCGTTTGAAAAACGGAGTAACCAATTTGCATCTGTGTCGAAATGATTCCCCAAAGCGAAATGACTTTCGCGAGAAATTTCCCGTCCCGTGAGTCAACTCGGAAAACAGTTTTTCAACTGTAAATTCCGAGCACCCCTCGTGCCACACGCACGACCGAGATTTTTTCTCGGTCGTGCTGTACAGCGCGCCATGATCGAAATCACGCGCGTGCACAGTACGGGACAGGGCCGAAATGGGCCCTGTCTTGTTGCGATCGTGCTGTATAGCACGCTCGCAACGGTACACGGCACACGCGCGTGCCCTGTGGTCCCACACGCGCGTACATTGACCCACGATCGGGTCTTGACTTTCACGCTTTTGACCAGCGCGAGAAAAGTCAAGGCACCTCTTGACCAGTCAAAGAACTGAGCACCCCTCGGTACACCACCCGCTCACATGAGGCTCCAATAAGTCTCGCATGAAAATTCGAGACTCATGGGACTTTCATGGTCGCTCGCACGAGCCTCGCGTGAAACATTTAAGTCCCATGCGAGCTTCGTTTGAGCTCCATAAGGTCTTCATTTGAGCCTCATTTGAGAGCTTCGCATGAGTCTCATTTGAGAGCTTCGCACGAGTCTCATTTGAGCGCGTCATGAGGGCCTCATTTGAGCGCTTCATGGGAGCTTCATGAGAACAGTGAAAACGAAACTGAAAATGCAAAAACACAAAATGCACTTATGAATGAAAACGAGACACACAAAACGCTAGAACAAATGCGCACAGAACGTTCACAAAATGAAAATGAAAAATGCACACACACACAAATGTGCAAAATGCGACGCAGGCGGCTGGTTGACGTGCAAAAATAAATATTTGCACCCAACAGGTATGACTTTTGAGAACTCTCTTTTGAGATTTTTTAGAATTCTCAAAAGTCATACCAATAATACTGACTCAAATACTGACTGAGGGTAGGTGGTACATTGATTGAAGGTATGTGTCTATATTGGTATGACTGTTGAGAATTCTCTTTTGAGATTTTTGAGAATTCTCAAAAGTCATACCAATAATACTAACACAAATACTGACTGAGGGTAAGTGGTACATTGATTGAATGTATGTGTCTATATTGGTATGACTTTTGAGAATTCTCTTTTGAGATTTTTGAGAATTCTCAAAAGTCATACCAATAATACTGACTCAAATACTGACTGAGGGTAAGTGGTACATTGATTGAAGGTATGTGTCTATGTTGGTATGACTTTTGAGAATTCTCTTTTGAGATTTTTGAGAATTCTCAAAAGTCATACCAATAATACTGACTCAAATACTGACTGAGGGTAAGTGGTACATTGACTGAAGGTATGTGTCTATTTTTGTGTCGACTCAAAAAGACGGGGGGGGGGGGGGGGGGTGGGGGGGTGGCAGGCATGGGAGGAGGTGTGGCACACTGACTACTGAATGGCATGTGCCTGCCACACTGATTATGCAGCCTCCGTTACACCACTCACCACAAGTCCAAGGGGCAGAAGACTCGAAAACCTTTTTGGGCAGCCCGGTGCACTCTGGATGGTACGCCTTGGGGCAGCCTCTGAAATATCAAAGTGAAAAAAAAGAAAATTTTCAGAGAAGTAGGGAGGTCTGTACACCGCCAACAACAGGGTATGATGGATTACTAGCACTCCCCCTCGCCCCGCCCCTCATCCCTCTTATCATCCCACCCACTCACCTCTTATCACATGCCACCAGGTCACCGCCATCGTAGCACACAAAGCAGTAATCCTCACACTGCATATCTCCTCCCCCCACCTCCTCCTCCTCCCCCCTTCCTTCACCCTCCTCACCCGCCACTCCCTTCCCCTCCACCACTCCTCCTCCTCTCTCCTCCTCCCTCCCTGCCACTGCTCCCTGTGACAACAACTCCACAGCAGTCTGTAAGTGCCTTTTTCGAGCATCCCCAGCATTTTCTTGTGACGATGGCGACGCTACAGCACTCTGCGCTTGCCATGCGGCCCCCAGAGCAGCCTGTGCTTGCCGAGAAGAGATAGCAGTTGCTGCCTGCTCTGCTGTCTTGCACGCATCATGCAGGAGCCGGTTTAGCTCCTTGGAAAGCCTAGGAGCCTTTGGAGGAGCGACTGTTTCTTGAGCCTTGACAGGTGTTGTGTGGAAAACTGGATGTTGTGGCGCTTCAAAAGTCGTGTGGGAGGCTACCGCTGCAGCTTCAGGAGCTGTCTTGCAGGTGTCATGATCCGCTGCTTCTCCCTCCCCTCCTCCCTTCTCTAATCCCTTCCCTCCTTCTTGCCATCCTTCTCCTCCTCCTCCTTCTCCTCCTCCTCCCCCTGCTTGCTCAGCTGCCGCTGCTTTCTCCGCTTCACCGTCCTGCTGCCCTCCTGTTCCTCCGTGCGTTGTTGAACCTCCCTTCCCTCCTGAACCTCCTTGCCTTCCCGTTACTTCCTGCCCTGCCATTCCTCGCTGCTCATCACCCTCCCTGCAAGCACTCTTGCCCCCCCCATTCATCTCCCCTCGAACTGGCGCCTCCCCTTTTTCCAGCTCTCCTTCCCCCTTACCCTCCTTAACATCATCGCAAACCTCGCCCTTCTTCTCCTCCACCTCTCTTCTCTCCTCCACCTCTTTTCTCTCCTCCACCTCTTTTCTCTCCTCCACCTCTTTTCTCTCCTCCTCCTCCCCCTCCTTGTACTCTTCGCCCTCATTGTCCTCCCCCCCGTCCTCCCTTTCCTCCCCCCCGTCCCCTTCCTCCCCACAGTCTTTCTCCACCTCACACTCTCCTCTATAACCCCCTCTCTCATCCACTCTCCCCTTCACTTCCATTGCTTCTTTCTCTTCGTCCTGCCAGTGTTTTATCTGCCCCTCATCCTCCCCTTTGTCCTTCCCTCCCTCCTCCCCCATACCCTCCTCCCCTTTTTCCCCCTCCTCGCCCTGCATCCCACCACCTGTCTCCATCTCACATGCTCCTCCACAGCCTCCTCTCTCTTTCACTCCTCCCTTCACTTCCACTGCTTCTTTCTCTTGCACCTGCCTGTGCCTTGTCACTGATGCTGCAGGGTGTTTTTGAGAATTCTCAAAAACTCCCTTCACTTCCGCTGCTTCTTTCTCTTGCACCTGCCTGTGCCTTGTCAGTTTTTTTCCCTCCCCCTTGCCCTCCCCTTCCTCCTCCTTCCCCTTGCCCTCCTCACCCTCTTCCCCCTCCTCCCCACCGGCTTTCCCCATCTCCCACTCTCCGCCATAGCCTCTCCTTTCCCCCACTCCCCCATCCACCTCCAATGCTTCTTCTTTCACCTGCCAATAATTCGTCTGCGCCTCCCTTCCCCCCCGCCTTTCTTTTGCTTCTTCCATCTCCTCCCCCATCCCTCCCTCCTCCCCCTCCTCCCCCTCCTCTCCTTCCTCTCCCCCTTCCCCCCCCTTTCCCTCCTGATCCTGTCTCCGCCAATCTTCTCCCTCCATTTCTCCCTCTGCTTCTCTCTCCTCTTCCCTCTCCTCCCTTACCACTCCCCTCTCCACCTCCTCTCCCCCTTGCCCTTCCTCCCTATTCCTACCTCCTGCACCTTCATTGCTCTCTTCATCCGTCTCCATCTCGCTTTCTCTCACCTCCCCTTCCTCCTCTTCCTCCTCTTCCTCCTCTCCTTCATCTTCCCCCACTTCACCCTCCTCCTCCTCTTCATCCTCCGCCTCCTCTCCGATCTCCATCCCCTCTTCAATCTCTACCCCCTCCTCCAATTCCTCCTCCCCTTCCTCTCCCATTTCCTGCTCTTCCTCCTCCCCTTCCACCCCCCCCTCCTCCTCTCGGCTCTTACCCTTCATCCAACTCCCCTCAATTCCTATCCCTCCCTCTCCCCCACCCCCACCACCCACCTCCACTGGCTCCTCTTTAACCTTTCCACCATCCCCACTTCCTCGCACCACTCCCCCTCCCTCCTCATTTTCCTTCTCCCTTTGCTCCGCTCTATCCGTATCCCTCATCCGATTCGCCTCTGCTCCTCCTAACACTCCCACTCCCCCATCACCCAACTCCAGTGGTTCTTCTTTAACGCTCCCACCCCCACTTCCTCGCACCATGCGTTTTGGCCCTCCTCCTTCCACTCTTCCCACTCCCCCAAGCACACACAGAGCAGTGACACTTGCACCGGTAGCAATCCTAACACTTGCACCGACAACACTTGCACCGACAACACTTGCACCCGCAGCACACGCATTCACCTTATTCGCCTCCCCACTACAACGTCTTAAGCGCATCTGAGCCAAATTTGACTTGGTTGCAGCTAATACAACAACACCAGCAGCAGCTCCCAATGTGCTAGCGCCAGGATCACCTGACTTTTTAGGCGCCTCATGAACTGACTTGGTTGCAGCTGATACAACAACACCAGCAGCAGCACCACCCAATGTGCTCGCGCCAGGATCACCTGCTCTGGTTACGACCTGCATAACAGCACCACCACCACTACCATTTGACGTGGTTACCACATGCGCAACATCACTCCTCCCTCCCTCCTCCCCTAGCTCCACTGCCTCCTCCTTCACACGCACAGCCCTCCCTTCCCCTCTTGGACCCATTGAAGCTTCACCCCCAGATGCCTTTTGAGTCACCACGGCACCTGCGCCACTGTTTTGAACTCTCAAACCTGACACACGAACAGCCCTCCCTTCTCCAGCTGCATCCATCGAACCCACACCCCAAGATGACTTTTCAACCCCAATCGCACCTGTGTCACTTCCGAGAACTCTCAAACCTGACACACGAACAGCCCTCCCTTCTCCAGCTGCACCCAAGGAAGCAACACCCCCAGATGTCTTTTGAACCGCCACCGCACCTGCAATCCCCAGTGCCCCCAGCCCCGTTCGTCCAGCCTCCAAACGCTGCTCCAGAGCAGGGATGGCCCTGGTGGGAGAGCTGGCCCTAACCGGCACACTCTCTACACCCTTCCCTCTCTGCGTGCTTCTGCCACTGCCATCAGCGCTGGCAGGGCAGGCCCTGGCTGGCCCACTCTGTGCCCCCAGGCCCGTCCGTCCTCCCAGGCCATCCTCCAAACGCTGCTCCACAGCAGGGATGGCCCTGGTGGGAGCACTCTCTATGCTCTTCGCTTTTTGCGTGCTGCTGCCGCTGCAATCTGCGCCTGCACCACGCAGTGTTTCCAGCCCCGTTCCTCCCACCGCAACGCCCCCTTTGCCAGGACTGGTAGGAATGATTCGCACACCCTGCACACCCTTCCCTCTCTGTGTGCTTCTGCCACTGCCATCAGCGCTAACAGGGCAGGCCCTGGCAGGCCCACTCTCTACGCTCTTCCCTCTCTGCGTGCTGCTGCCACTGCCATCACCGCCTGCACTCCCCACTGCTCCCAGCCCCATTCGTGCCACCACCAAATGCGGCTCCCTGCCAGGGCTGGCCCTGGCAGGCGCACTCTCCACACTCTTCCCCCTCTGCGTGCTGCTGCCCCTGCCATCACCGCTCGCACTCCCCAGTGCTTCCAGCCCCGTTCGTCCCACCTTCAAACGCTGCTCCCTGGCAGGGCTGGCCCTGGCAGGCGCACTCTCCACACTCTTCCCCCTCTGCGTGCTGCTGCCCCTGCCATCACCGCCCGCACTCCCCAGTGCTTCCAGCCCCGTTCGTCCCACCTTCAAACGCTGCTCCCTGGCAGGGCTGGCCCTGGCCGGGGCACTCTCTACACTCTTCCCGCTCTGCATGCTGCTGCCGAGGCGGAGATCCGAGCCTGAAACCCCGAGCACACCCAGCCCTGTACTGTCACCCGCTTTTCTCCATTCCATTTCTCCAACACCCATCCCTGTGCGGGGATTCAGCTTTGCCTCCTGCCTTGCAGCAGTTGGTGTGACAGCAACAGCCTTGCCCTTCCCTCCACCAGCGCCCACATCCGCTTTTCCATCCAACTTCCCATTCGTCCTCCCAAGCCCCCTTCTCTTTTCCTCCTCATGACATTGATCAGCCTCCTCCTTTTCTGTTTCACGTAGACCTGGGTCTTTTTTCACCCTCACTTCAGGAGAACCCCCAGCTTCCACATCTTCCTTCCCAATTCTGCTTTTCTTTCCCTCCTCGTGTTGAACAGCAACCGCTTCAAATCCATCCGGATCTCTTTTCACCCCCACAGGAACCCCATCGTCCTCCTCCACCTCCCTCCTTTTTTCCTCGTCCTCCTCCTCTTCCTCCTCCTCTCCCACCTCCCCCTCTTCCACTTCCTCTCCCTCCTCTATTTCCTCCTCTCCCACCTCCCCCTCCTCCACTTCGTCCCCCTCCTCCCTCTCCTCCCCCTCCTCTCCCTCCTCCACTTCAACATATTCCTCTACAACTATCACGTCTTCACTCGATGACTCCTCCCCTCCCTCCCCCCTCCACCTATCCATCCGCTCCCCTTCCTCTTCAGGCTCCGCTTTCACTGTCTCCATTCCACGTGTATTTTGAGCCACTGCCATCGTTCCACGTGTATCTTGACTCACTGCCACCGTTCCACGAGTAATTTGAGTCGACTCAAAACTCACCCCTTCCTCCTCAGGCTCCGCTTTCACTGTCATCATTCCCTTTCCTGGTTTTCCTCCTGCCATATCCTGTCACGTTGTATCCTTGAGTTGAGTCGCCTCAGAAACCCTCCTCCTCAGGCTTCGCTTTCACCGTCACCATTTCCTCTTGCGATACTCCTCGAACCATCTGCTGTTACGGTGTAGCCTTCACCATCTGCTGTAACAGTGTAACCTTCGCTTTCCCGTAACGCCTGAAGCGCTTTGTCTTCTAATCTGTGGCTGTCACACCGTCGGGTCAACTCCTATAGTCTATTTACACGCTCATTGAACCGTTTAGTGGCCAGTTACCCACGACCACCACAATCGCCAGTCCACTATTCGCCTGTCGTGTCTGTAACTTCTCAGTCCGACTAAAAAAATCCTTCGGTCTCTGGTCACACCTAACTAGCCACTAGGTGTGCAGCGTGCTCTGAGTGTGACACACGAAACACAACTCTCATCTCTGTTACGACCTTCACCACCGCCTTCAACGCGGATGTTACAACCGCAGTCAGTCTCCGGTAGGGTTACGTTAACGTCTCAAGCTACCAGTCAAGGTTAGCTCTTGCTGGTTAATTAAAGGTTCTTATGCTCGAGACTCGTCTAAACATCTCGCACGCCAGCTCGATCAAGATACCTGATTCTTAACTCGCCGGCAGGATTACAGTCGCCTGATATACTAAGTCACCTTTCCCGGAAACGGACGATTCAAAACTGCGAAGTAACTGCTCGAATTCGGGTTTGCCTCGTGCAGTAATACCGTGCTGTCCGCTTTTACAGAACACAACTTAAAGCTAATAAAAGCTCTCTGCTACGCGAACGACCTATTCCTGCACTAGGCTTTCGGAGCTAGCTAAAAGGCAACGACTGAGTAGCGTGTTTAGGCCTCAAGCCTAGAGCTCACTGACAGGCGACAGAACAAAGTGACTCTGACAGCGCCAACTGCGCTTCAACTGTGACTGACAATTGATGTCAGGCCGCCTTTTGAGGGGCTGAGGTATCAACCAGGCCTGGGTACTGTTCTCGTTTGTAACAAGTTCGATTGTGTTTACATGGACGTTCGTAAACAGGGGTATTTTCGACCTTGCTTTCCACCGAGGAACTTGGTTTGTTTAAAGCCCGAGTACAGCATGGTATTTTTCAAGCTCAAGATTCTTGAACTTGAAGTCGTAAAAAACAGGGTTACCCTCTTTTGTTTGAAAGAACTCTCGCGACCCAGGGAAAACTTAGTGCGACGGTCACTTCTGATTGGTATCTGTGCCCAGTCGCACAACACATCCGAACATCGCCTACCATGTTGATGTGGTCACCTCTCACATAACTTGACGACCAAGTGGTACTCCTAATCCACTAGAGTAGGCACGTAACTAAGAAACGCGCGACAGGGCGATAAAAGCTAGTTTAGGTAGAAGCGTTTTTTTCCTTCCAGCTCTCGTCACTCCCGCTGTCTTGCCAATAGCTGAGGAGCACCCGCTTCTTGCCAAACACGCTATTACCGTACCATTTTTGCATGCCAGCGACGGGACACCCGTTCTAGTGCACCACAGTCATGGGTCGGCTAAGGCTGCTGGTTACCTCCAATACAACGCCCGTAATGCATTGGCCAGCATAGCATGGCCCGCCCAACAAAAACTTGGCTTCAGTCCGCCTTCAGGCGTCATCCTCGCCTCGTCCAGACTCCCACACTTAGTATGTGGCGAGTGCATCACCTCATCGCCCGTGCTTCCCTAGCGATTCCCTCAACCCCACGTTACGAGAGCTTCTGCACTCGCGCATGCCCTCGTCGCCCGCGCGTCCCTCGTCGCGCAATGTTTCCCTCGTCGCAAGCGTTTCCCTCGTCACGCCAGCTTGTCCTTGTCTCCCACGCTCACCCGCGCTTCCCACGCTTAGCCACGTTTCCCGCGCTCTCCAGCGACACCCGCGCTTACCTTCGTCACCCGCGCTTACCCGTGTCATCCCCACTTACCCGCGCTTATCCGCGTTTCCCGCGCTTACCCGAGGTCACCCGCGCTTACCCGCATCATCACTGCCCGCGTCTCGCACTCTTTCCCGCGTGTGAAACGCTTACTCGAGTCTCCCGCACTTACCCTCGTCTCTTGCGTTGCTCCTCAACGCCCTCGCCTCAGTTTCCCCCATCCACACGCATCTCCCCTTATCGCCCATGTCTACCCAAGTCGCCACTCCCCGTCGTTAGCGAAGGCCCCCACACACCACGCGCATTCTCCCCACTTGTCCGCCTCCTTTCCCCCCCACACACTACGCGCATTTTCCCCCACTTGTCCGCCTCCTTTCCCCCCCTCACACCACGCGCATTCCCCCCACTTGTCCGCCTCCTTTTCCCCCCCTCACACCACGTGCATTCCCCCCACTTGTCCGCCTCCTTTCCCCCCCGCACACCACCAGCATCCCCCCCACTTGTCAGAGGGCGAGAGACAAAGTGGGAGGGACAGAGGGGAAGGGAAAGAGGGGGAGTGAAGGAGGGGTAGGGACGAAAGTGCAGGGACGAGAGGGGAGGGATAGTGGGGGAGGGACAGAGGGGCAGGGACAGAGGGGGAGGGACAGAGGGGAGGGAACGAGGGGGAGGGATAGAGGGGGAGGGACAGAGGGGAGGGAACGAGGGGGAGGGATAGAGGGGGAGGGACAGAGGGGAGGAAAGAAGGGGAAGGACAGAAGGGGAAGTACAAGGGGGAGAGGGGGGAGGACAGATGGGGAGAGACAGAGGGGGGAGGTACAGGGGGGGGGGACAGGGGGGGAGAGACAGAGGGGGAAGGGCAAAGGGGGAGAGACAGAGGGGGAAGGACACAGGTGGAGTGACAGATGGTGAAGGGCAGAGGGGGGGAGACAAAAGGGGAAGGACGGAGGGGGAGGATAAGAGGGGGAGGGGCACAGAGGGGGAAGGACAGAGGGTGAGAGCGGGTACTTCCCCCACTCCCTCTCCTCGTCGACCTCACTTCCCCAGGCTTGTTTACACCCCTCTTTATTTTGACCAACCTCCCTTTCTCCCAACAGCTCTGTTTACCCCACAGTCTATTCTCCTTTGCCTCACCTGCCACTCCCCCCTTCCTCCTCCCTGCTTCCCCCCTCCCTCCTTCCTGCTTCCCCTCGTCCCCTCCCCTTCTTTCCCCCATCCCCTTCCCTGCTTCCCTCCATCCCCTTCCCTGCTTCCCCCCATCCCCCTCCCTGCTTCCCCCCCATCCCCTTCCCTGCTTCCCCCCATCCCCTGCCCTGCTTCCCCCCATCCCCTCCCCTGCTTCCCCCCATCCCGTCCCGTGCTTTCCCCCATCCCCTACCCTGCTTCCCCCCATCCCCCTCCCTGCTTTCCCCCATCCCCTTCCCTGCTTCCCCCCATCCCCTGCCCTGCTTCCCCCCATCCCCTTCCCTACTTTCCCCCCATCCCCTTCCCTGTTTCCCCCAATCCCCTTCCCTGTTTCCCCCCATCCCCTTCCCTGCTTCCCCCCAATCCCCTTCCCTGCTTCCCCCCATCACCTTCCCTGCTTCCCCCCATCCCCTTCCCTGCTTCCCCCCATCCCCTTCCCCGCTTCCCCCCATCCCCTTCCCTGCTTCCCCCCATCCCCTTCCCTGCTTCCCCCCCCATCCTCTCCCTCCCCATGTACAATCGCAAAGAAAAGGGGGGACGCACGCGCAACAGGGGGGCAGCGCAGCAGACTTGTGTGCAATCTCACTAACTTGTGTGCAATCTCACTGACTTGTGTGCAATCTCAGTGACCAGCGGCATGCTGCAACATACCCCCCACTCCTTTCATACTCCCCACTCCTCTCATACCCCCCACTCCTTTCATACTCCCCACTCCTCTCATACCCCCCACTCCTTTCATACTCCCCACTCCTCTCATACCCCCCACTCATTCCATACAGTGGACTCCCCCCACTCCTCTCATACTCCCCATTCCTCTCATACCCCGCACTCCCCTCGTACGCCCAACTCCTCTCATACCCCACAGTCCCCTCATACCCCCTGCTTCTCTCATATCCCTACACCCTCGTTCCAAACTTCCCACTCCCTTCATATCACCCACTCCTGAAATACCCACCGCTAATGTGAATTCAAATTGTCACTGTTTCGTCTGGTCCCGCTTTCCACCTATGCACTGCTTCCCACGCTTGCACCCCTGCTTTCCGCCCTTGCACCCCTGCTTCCCACCCTTGCACCCCAGCTTCCCACCCTTGCACCCCTGCTTCTCCCCCTTGCACCCCTGCTTTCCACCCTTGCACCCCTGCTTTCCACCCTTGCACCCCTGCTGTCAGCCCTTGCACCCCTGCTGTCAGCCCTTGCACCGCTGCTGTCAGCCCTTGCACTCCTGCTTTTCTGCTTCAAGAGCAGCAGCAAGTCCCTCCAGAGATCCTATAGCTGCCACTGGTTCGTCTGCTCCTACTCTGAGCTACTACCGGTAAAATTTTGAGCCCTCAAGTCGTGCGCCTTCTATCCCACCCATGCATCTGCCATGTGTTTGCAGGCTAACTGATGTGTCGATTCCAGTACTGTGGCTCACTTCACTGCGCATTGTGAACGAGGTCCTTGTGAAACGCAAGTATAAGCCATCCTGAAGTAGTGTACATTGGATGCCAAGTGGTTACCTCGGCAATAATTTGCAATAAAGTGCCAACAGAGCTGGGCACTGACACCTTTGGAGTAAGATAACTGTTACACATCATCATGGATGTATCCTTTTTGGGATACCAAACAAGCTAGTGCCCTAGGCAGAATGGAACATGAGCTGGATTAGGGTCTCAAGAATCGAAGCAATGGAGTAGTTTCACCGGGCTAACTTCATCCGCACGTGTAACGTATATTGCAACTATAATATGTGCAAGTTTATTTCGCAAAGAAGCATGATTAGGTTTAGGACAGAACGGCATAGTCCTCCACACACATTCAAGCATGACATGTTCAAGACCAAATTAGCACAGTGGGGATGGAAACACAACCCCATTTATTCATCCTGACCTGCCACCCACACCTCCACTTCCTCCCCGTCATAGTGGCCTGCTAGCCACCACTCATCACTATCGTCGCTCCACTCCTC